TACCGCATTTGTTCTTTACAGCTGCACTGTCAGGAGAATTGGAAGGCGTCAGCGTGGGCTCTGGGAACCTACAAGGGGTCTTTTTCATTGGGTTTTGTAATGTAATTGACTAATCAACCAAATAATCAGTAATGAAAATAATTGTTAGTTGCAAAAACTCCATTAGGAGAAGACCCCAGAGTCAAGGAAAGTGTTTTTAAAAACTGAAAATTACAGTGGAGACAACAAGCGACTTGATTTATTTAATTGATTAATATAAAAGAATAGCTGGATGAGAACGTTTAAAGCTGTGTCTAATTACCCTCATGATTAATGAACTATTGTCCGACGGATGAACTATTTGTTCTTTATTTCTATCTGGTGTTTTTACTGCAAGAAAAGAGAAGAGCTCAGGACATAAACCTCATACACCAGACGTCACATGAATCTGTCTTGAATTCTGTCTTTAATTATTGCACCATAAGTTTACATAAGTGATTTTTCTAAACACAGAAGTTAAACAGCTTTATATTCTCAACTATAATGAGTTGAGTAGCACAGAAATGCTACAGTATAAGTTATATGTCAAATACTACAATTAGCTAAAATAAGGAATGGGCCTTTAATGAGTTTGAATTCAGATGATGTGAAGTGGCTACAGCCGACTCAGCAACACAGAACGGAGGAAGAAGAGGTCGGCACGTCGACCCACCCAGTCACCCACCATCACCCCCATCATCATCAGCAGCAGCAGCAGCAGCAGATGGCACCCTGCAGATGGCACCGGGAGCCATTAACCGGCACATAGGGGACGTTTGGGGGGGGGGGGGGCATCGGTTGGGCATCGGTTGGGCTTTTTTGTGCAAGTAATGTGTCAGCTCAGCAAATCCACATACTGAGAGTGTGGAATCAGTGAAAGCTTCACGGCAGCATTTTCCCAATGATCTCAGACCCTGAGAACCTTCCGACGACCTCGCGCCGACACTCACTCTCTCCGTATTTTACAGGAAGTGTGTCACCGAAAAACTTTCTGTTGTCCCTCTCTTTCACTTCCTTCCTGCTGTTGACCATGTAGTTTTCTGCAGAGCTCCACAAACGGAGGGTTACACCACAGCGGGCCAGTGACGGGAAGATCAGCAGTTCAAATCCAGGATCATCTGGGAAGAAGCAGGACAGGGGAAGCGAACAAAGTAAACGCACCTACACATCCATGAGCAAGGCACTTAAACCTACATTCCTTTTAAAAGTGAGCTGCTCCCAGAGAGTGATGTGAACGTACAGGTGGTTTCAGAGGATGATAACAGTGATTTTAGCCTGAGAATCACATACTGTATAATTTACAGTTTGGCCAGTGTTTCTGCAAACCACATCCTCTCTATTCATTTCCATATAAAAAAATTGATTGGCAGACTCACGGTGATCAATCTTGATATTTGTGGACCTCTACGAGCAGGGGCCGGCTTCACAAAGATATTTTAGACTGGTCTGCTGTGTTAATTTGGCCTAACTGACTCATTCTAAACCAAAAACATTAGGTTCCTTACCCCCAGGGCTAACTCAGGCCTAAGACCAATGTTACCATGGTAACAATCAATGACACCTGCGTTGACCAGCGGCAGCCAACAACAAAAAAACAGGAAAACCCGGCTCGTAGTCTGTGATTTGCTATGTGGAGAGAGTGATGAGAGGAGAAAGAGTTTTTAGAGATTTTTTGTTTTTGGTTGTTTCACTCTTTGCTGAATTTCCTGTTGTTTTTCTTTTTGTAAGTGTTGAATTCTTCCAAGAGACAAACATTTTCCTGCTGCTGGGGTAAACAGAGCTGAGAGGTTGGGTGCGGTTCCTCAGGCGGCCCTAAGTTTTGTACCATTTAAGACGGACAAGGATGAATCTGCTCTGTGCAACGGATGAATTTATACGTCTGACTGTTTGTTTCATCTAATCCTCAGTCAAACCGGCTCCTGTAAAAGTGGCAGTGTACTTTTCGAACCAAATGGTCACATAAACTGCCTTGCTGTGTCACAATAATAGTTTGCAGAGGTAAACATGAAAAATTAAGGTGATAAAATTAATCAATTAACAAAATGCTTTGCTGCTCGGAGTCCCTCCCCTTCATAGATAAAAGGCAAAAGTAAATTAAGAGGCGACACCCGTGAAGAAAGATAATCATGTTATCTACCTGCATAAATTCAGACTGACTAACAGTTAAAACATCATACGCCAGTCTGTCCCTGTCTCTGTCTCTGTCTCTCTCTCTCTCTCTCTCTGTTGCAGAACTTGACTCCATGTCTGTGCGTAAGCTCAACATCTGGGAGGCTCGGGAGAAACATTTCTTGAATACTTACTTACTCTTGGATAAACAATTTCATGGGGGAGTGAGCTCGGTGTGGGCTCTCCCGCTACAAAAAATTACCCACCTAATAGCTTCTGACTGAAACATTACTGTCAAATAAATGAAAACGTGTGAACGCAAGAGTGGCCATTACACAGTGTTATGTTTAATATGAATTTCAGGTTACGAGCGATGCTCATTTTACAGCTGTGCAAGCAATGCATTTATACTCTTTACCACAAACGTGTTCTGGGTTACAAAGCGCCTTATTCATTAAACTATAAAGCTTTCAGAGAGGGTGCAGGAAACTTTGAACACATCTAAACACTCAACTGGGAGTCTAAGCACATTTGTTTTGGGAGTAAATCACTGGATATATTCAAAAGGAGCGCAGCAGCATTTGTGTTGGCATGGAAGGAAACACTCAGCGACAACCCTTGTGCCCCCTCATTCTTTTTTCTTTTTCTTCCTCCTCAAGACCAGACAGAAATATGCTAAATATGCAGCACTGCGACCTGAGTCCATAGTTCAGGGTTTATTTTTAGGAGAGGCGCCTCACTCTCTTGCTCCACCCCAAGTTTTCTCATTATCTGTAACAGGACTGGCACATGCAGCGATAATGACTGAAAGCCTGGTGTCCCATTAACCAACCGGATGTGGATGGCATTTTTTTTATTTTTATTTTTTTGCCCTTTATGGCAAAAAAATAAAAGAGTAGATTCATGTGGCGAAATTTACATATCACGCAACTATGATTTCAATCTGTTATTTGTCTGCACCACGTGTGTTGAGGAGGGAACACTATATTATAATCTTCTTTAAATTTGTGCATTTAAAGAAGAACCCAACCGTTTTTAAGAATTCACATTTCTTATTCTGGTGCCCCAGAAAACTTTGGTCAACATGAACATGAAGCACTCTCCCCCAAAGTGCAATGTCACCTTAGTTTACTCTGCAACAACGAATAATTGTAATTTCTTATACCAAAATCTTACTTTTTTTTTCCGGAAGTCGGGTGAGCAGGAAACGGGGTGTGGAGGGAAGAACCGGAGCAGAACACAGATACGGGGATTGGGCAGAAAACGCGCCATTTCTTCTTTAAATACGGACGACAACAGACAACAACATGATGGCGGCAGTGAGCAGTGAGCAGTCAGCGGTCAGTATGTAAATACACTCGGATCTCCAAACACAACCAGACCTCAGCAAAGGGGTGTCAACCACATCCTGAAAGGCCCGGGCTGCAAAGGTTTCATGAATGAATAAAAAAAGGTATCAATGTGTGCAGGAGGTGTCAATATTCTGTGACTGTTCGCATTTCTCTTCAACCACGGCATGATGACGGGAAGGAAATAAACTTGTCAATCTTCTTTAGATTGTTCTCGACCTGCCCTTCAGCCGGAATGAAGCGACTGCATCAGCATGGAGAGACGAACAAGGAGGCGGTCCTCTGATCAGAGATGGTTGGATGAGTCATCCAGCGCCTTAGGGAGTCGGTCTGTGGGATCTGCGTGGGAGAGCTCAGTCGCCAATGAACGCGCTCCTGCAGAAATGTTGCACTCAAACAGTGCAATTATCAAAGGCCTCTTGAAGTCTAGAAACAAGTGACATTGTGCCGTCAGTGTAAGTCAGAGTCGTGGATGTGAACAGAGGCTCTTGTAGACACTCACCTGTGGCTGATCTGATGGAATAAATTTACTGCTGAAATGCTGCTTTCAAGGTCCTCAACTTTTCTACCATTCAGTTACAAAACTTAGGAGGTAGAAAACAGTCAATTTCAATGTCATTCTGAACATTTTTTTTTAAAGGATTCAATCTGGAGAAAGATGATATATTTCACCTTCCCAAAAGAAAGATTACTACCACTAATGTACATTTTAAAAAGGCACCTCTTCAATTTACCATTATTTTCATAATCTATATGGTATTTTATTACTTGGTTATTCATGTATAGCCTAAATAAAATAACAAACAAATTTTGACCCACTCACACTCACTGATAATTCATTACAAGTAAATGTTCTGTATCCCAAATGTCACTTAACTATACTTAAAAGATCAAATGTAAAAGTATTAATCACACTCCTTTCTGAATGTTATATTATTAATAATACAGTGTAGTTTAGGACATTGTTCATTAATGTATTTTATATTTTTATACCAATTATAGGTACTTTATATATTACTGGTTAGAGTAAGAGTAAAGCACTGCATCATGTTTTATAAGCTCCTTATACGTTTTGCATTTAAAATCTTAATCTGGAAAGTAATTAGTAACTAAAGCTGTCAAAGAAATGTAATGGAGTAAAAATGAAACAATTTCTCTTTGAAAATGAAAATGCTAAAGTAAAGTAAATGTATCTCAGAATATTCTAATGTTCACAAATATTATTAAATAATATTCTAATATTTTATACTATGACACCATGGAATAAATTAATTCGTTCTATAAGATATATATACTATGAAATCGCAGAATATGTTATATATTATGATGAAAACAAAAGTATGATAATAATTGTTGCCATAAAATAACGTGAATACCTTTAAAGAGTAACATAATTCACCTGACACGAACCGCAAACCCCCCTGTAGGAACATTAAAGCACTATAATGTTTGGACTGAGCGCCATCTTTTGCTTCGGCTTCACTCGGAAGTAGTCGTGTGTTGTCGGACCAAGCCGGTGTGCCAGAGGGCAGTGCGAGCGCAGCGGCTCTCAGCGCTCGAGACAAGCACCATTCATCTGACCGCGGGCACACACCTGGTCGGGACCGAGGAGAACAGTTTAACCACGGAAACAGCTCCGCACAGGTGAGTTTCCACCTGAATTTAAACTTCTACTTTCCTCTCGTCAACTTTTGCAAACCCTGAGTTTCTTGTATTGGAGAAAAAGTCCCCAGACGTTACCAGAAAGTTGCAAGTTTTGCGCATTGAAGTAACAAACATTAAGGACCCGGTACTTTTTATTTATTGACGTCATGTACGTAAACAACTACGACATGAAAAAAGTCTCTAGGTTTTGAAAAAAAAAAGAGCAAGAAAAGACAGTTTAAAGTTTTATTTGTCGTGAGGCTGACTTTATTTTCCTCATACCTGTCAACAGCACCCGGGTTAATCACTTAAGGAATGTGGTGCCATTAGGACGGGAGCCGAGAGCTGAAAGTTCATATCAACTTCAACTTTTAACTTAATTTTCACCAACTTGGCGTGAAAGGAGGGACTTATCAAGAAGGGATCATGGCCACAGGCGGATTTAAGTCAAACGCTACGACAGACTTTCTGGAGGAATGGAAGGCAAAACGGGAGAAAATGAGAGCCAAAATGCTGGGGGACATTGCCGCAGCGACCGGTGCTCCCTTGGGCTCCAGTAACACAAACAGCAGCAGCCGCCACGCCGCTCCGCCGGGCACCGAGCTCACCAACAACGGAAACCCGGAGCGAAGCGCCTCCTCTGGGAACTGCCTCCCCTCCTCCTACTCGGTGGCTCGGTCCTCCTCCGGCACGGTTCTAAAGAGACCCGAGGAGGAAACGCACCACCCTGCCGCTCACCCTCCTGCACCCACTTCCACCCCGGTGAGCAACCTGAAGAAGGCCCCGCCTCAGACGGAGAAGGCTCAGTGCGCTTCCCCGGACTCCAGCCCCATGGCTTGCAATGACAGCGACAAGGAAAGTCCATCACCCAGCAAGGGCAAGGAGAAGAAGAGCACCGGCCCCAGCGCCAGGAAGGGGAAAGGACAGATAGAGAAGAGGAAGTTGAGGGAAAAGAGGAGATCAACAGGTGTTGTCAGCATACCATCCAATGAGGTGAGTGAGTCCATGCTTTATGTTTAACGCGATGTGATGGCATGTTAAGTGAATCCCCTGCAGGGAAAGCGCTTCTTCTCTTAGCTGTCACCTCCACGGGGGAAGTCAGAGGTCACTTTAGATACAGAACCGGATTCACCTCATGAGGGAAAGTGGCTGTTTATGCTGCTTAGGGGTTTGGAGTCGGGGCTCGTTCATCCTGCTGCTACAAAGTGGGACAATATGGAGGTCCATGCTGGGATGGAGGAGGCTGTCAAAGCTTGTGTAAAGAGCAAGAGTTTTCTACCTTTGCTGCTTGTAAAGTCTCAACACACCTCAGAGGCTGCAACCAGAACATGGCCAGACCGATTCTGAGTTTTTCAGGCCAATATTGATACTGATATTTGAGATTTCAACCAACAGTCATTTTCATTATCAACCTTTCTATAGTTTTTTTTAATTAATAATTAAGTTGTTTAGTCTGTATATTGTCACAGGAATGGGACAAAGGTTTGTGATAAACTTCCAGATCCCATTGTGACGTCTTCAAGCTGCTTGTTTTGTCCAACCAACAGTCCATAATCCAAATGTTTTAACTTTAAAACAGTTTAAAACGTAGAAAAACACATTTAGGAAGCTGAAACTAGTGAGTCTTTGAATTTTTTAACTTAATAAATGACTTAAATTACTAATCGAATCAAATATCAAAACTGTAAACACCAAATGTAACACCAACAAAAGCTATAATAGTTACAGTTGGAACGAGAAGAATCCAAAATAAACAAAACTGAACTAGGGAAAACATTAAAAGAAGTAGTATGTGGTTTGGACGAGCCTGTATTAAGAACAATGAATTTGTTTGTTTGTTTGTTTGTTTTTTTAGTTAAAATAGTCAAATAGTCTCCTGGCATGTCTGTCCTGCAACTTCCTGTTCCTTATCAGCTGACGTTTACATATCAGCAATACATTTTGTGATAAGCTGACTTCAGCTTATAAAGCTGGTCAGAACAGAATTAGTTGGCATGCTGCTGAATAGTTGTGGTCGCAGAAAACTATGATCCACATTCAGCAGGGTTATAAAACCACAGCCAGTGTGCATTCATTTAAAACAAAGTGAAGTAAACTTTTATCGTGTCGCCCCCCCCCCCCCCCCCCCCCAGTGGACCAGTTTTCTATTAAATACCAAATCCAGAAGGAGTTGAAGAGGTTAGGTCAGTTGTTATTGTGCAAAGTGACAGGTTATTTGTACAGGGCTTCCTTGAATTAGTTATTGTTGTACTTCAGTGTCATATCTGATATGAATGTCTGTTTACTGATGTCATTTGGAAGTTTTTCTCCTTTTTATATTTTACATTTTCCCTGGTTTTATTGCTTTTTAACATCTTTTGTCCATGTTCTCACTTTAACACATTGTCTCTTGGTTTCCGTGTGTGTGTGTGTGTGTGTGTTGTAGGTCCATAAAGTGTTGTGGGTCCATGAATAATTCAAATCAAACAACAGCACTTGTTTTCCAAAAGTCTCCAAATTCCTCCCATACATGTGTCTGGTTTAATCGACCCTCTGGAGCGATAGAAATGAAAGCAGCTCTCAGATGTTGGAGAGAAAAAGGGAAGGGGGGGGGGGGGGGGGGGTGGTAGCGGCTGGTGGTGGAGAGTGTGTGTGTGTGTGTGTGTGTGTGTGTGTGTGTATTGGACAGCGGTGTTGGGGCATTCATTGTTATTGAATTTAAATCATGTCAGACTCTTGCCTAATTCCTGTGGTGCAGACACATGCAGGAACTCTGATACGAAGCCGTGCCAGCCGAGTGCTGTGAGTGTGTGCACTCACTTACACACTTTCAAAACCACACGATTTATCCAAAAATACTTGGAATACGTGTTCTTTTCATTAAGGTGATAGTGTAAGTGGTAGTGAGATATGCCTTTAGTAGTGGTCCATAACCACCCTGTTTCCCGTACACACACACACACACACACACACACACACACACACACACACACACACACACACACACACACCACATTTGAGCTCTGTGCCCTCGGGGCAGCACAACTTGGAGTTTGACCAGTTTGTCAGTTGGTGCTCCACATCCTGTTATTAGGTGCTCAGCAGTGCTGAGCAAAGCCGTTTGAAAACTGGTCACAAGCCAGGCGGTAATGCGGGGCTTCAGCACTCTGGGCTGTGCCAGATATGTTAGATCGAGCCCATAGGCGGCTGATTGTGTTGTAAAGTGGGCGAACGCACTATTACTGGGGGGGAGGGGGGTTAGGGTGGGAGGTGGATGTGAATGAGGTGTAAGCTGAGGCCAGACAGAAGAACTGGAGGTCTCTGATCCCAACTGGAGTTAGTACAGTTTGTAGAAAACCACCCCCCCCACCCCCCCGCAGTCAGAGTGTTATCTGTGAGACACACTGAGTATGTTTACATGCCCACCAGTTTCCTGAGCTCATTTGTCTCTCAGTCGTGTGTTTGTTCCTGTAAACATTTCAGCAACTAAACCTGGTTTTAAGAAACCTGAATCTGCCAGTTAAGAGTCTCCTGAGAGGTAGCTGTCCTACATTATTGACAATCGGAGGCACAAGCTTGATCCTGAAAGCCAGAAACTAAATCAAGTTTATCTTCAGCTACAGATGTTACTCAGTTGCTACAGATGTGACAGAACTCACATAATAATAACGACCAGGTTTCTTCATGTTTTTATTTATCAAAACCAGGACAAGACTGTGAACATAGTCGGGGACAGAATTCATAAATAACATCTTGGAGTTTGCTGTCTGAACACTTTGACGCTTTGATAGTTCCCTGGGTGTCATGCTTGATGTCAGCGAGGTCATACAGTTACTAGCTAATGCGGTCTTTCATGACCTCCGTTTGGCAGCGTCATCACAATTATGCAAATGCCTCAATGGAAAAGTGAAAGTTTTTAGTATTTTGGCCACGACTTCTGTTGGAAGAAGACGTGGTATTTTATGTCACTCGCTCTCCTTTACAGCCTGTTTTATTTGCAGTTGTATTTTATGATGTACATCATTTTTTTCTCTTTTTGTTTGTTGAAATTCAGCGCTAACAAAAGCTCATTTACAGCTCCATTAAATCAATGTGAAGCCGCGGCCAGTAAAATGTCAGAAATGGTGGAAAGTGGCCATCACTTTCCAGCCCATATTATTTTCAAATAGTTTGTTTTGCCTGACCGACAACAGCACCCCCAGACATCATGATTCACTGATCGTGTCATGATATCCTTTTGTGATATTTTCAGAATGAAGCTGTTTCTCAGAAGGACTTTGAACTTTCCCCTTTGACAAGAAATGTTAATCACTCTATCACAGCCGAGGCTCTGGCGGCTCAATGGCCACTCGACCCCTGTGGTTGTTGGGCCTGCGCCCAGTTTGTTCATGGTAAATTACATATATTTAATATACAGCGATTTTAAATCTGACCTAAAATAGATAATAAATATTTCAGTTGTTGTATTGATGCACTATTCCCCCCATAGACAAAATTTAGAGCTATGAAAAACAGTTTCATGCTTTTACTGAATTAATGTGATATTTATTCTTCCTCCCTTTTCTGACACATGCTATCTGTAACTGCTGATGTGTCCAAGCCTCAAGATACTTTATTGTTTTTACACCTCACACTTGAACATTTAAAACTAGCCACCAGCAGCAACTAACACTAAATAACATCTCACGGTTTCTAATCCGACTTTAATGATGGAGGCTTTATCTCTCAGATCTCATGGGCCCGGAGATCCTGCAAGGAATCAAAGAGAGACATAAAAATCCCAGAACTGGCAACGCAGCAGATATACTCATATATTCCTTTTTTGTCAGATGTTTCCCTTTCTCCTCCTGGTGCATATATATAAAGGCCCAAACTATGCAAATGAAGACTCGCTCACACAAGCTCCCTTTGTGACGTGAATATGAGTGGACAGGTGTGAATAGAGATGCCTGGGATTATCTCCCCGCTCGTTCTGTGCAGAATAATAGCTGCTGAGCGGGATTTCAGAGCATCTGGGGAACCCAATCTTCTGCCTGTTGAGGTTATAATGGCCTGATAAAAGCTCCCTGCTTTACTGGAGAAAAGACACTTTTTTTTTGCGCAGCATCAATCAGTGTGACCTCCTGCGTTCCAGGAAGGTGTCTCCTTTCTCTCGCCCTGCTCGCCGCCTCAGACTGGAGGGCATTGTTGTTGATGCTGACCTTTGACCTGCTCACGACATGCTTATGCAACAGAGGAATGTGGAAACTAGTGTGTGTGTGTGTGTGTGTGTGTGTGTGTGTGTGTTGAGCATCTCTGTGAGGGTCATTTTCTCTCAAAGGTTTCAGGGTTGTGATGTAAGTGTGTTTCCTGTTGGTCACGCCGCACGCGGTCCGATGGTGATTCATGTCGTTCATTGTGTAGCTTTTTATGACCTCAGTGAGTTATGAGGCTGTAGCCAGACACTCACACTGCCAGGGGAGTGTGAACTTTGTTTCATGTGGATGGCTGGATCTACCCCACAGAGGCTGCTGCTGCTGCTGAGTGTGGACCCAACCAGCACCCCCTACCCCCACCCCCACCCCACCCCGCAACAGCTATTTGCCCGCAGCGTCACCGAAGAGGTCAACGGGTTCAACCTGTGATACTGTGCCGAGCGCTAACACGCCGTTGACAGGAGAACATGGCAGACAAGAGGGTCCTTGTTTAACCCGATCCTTTGTGAATCCAGGTGGTTGTTAATGTGTTTTATGTTTTATACAAACACATCTCAACCTCTTAAACACCACTGTCCCCACTGGTAAAGCACTTGGCACAAACTCTTGTTTTACAGCCAGACTTTGCTCAAACCCACAGAACTTTATTTTGAAAATTGTAGTTAAGATCACAGAGTTTCCAAAGTGCGTCAGCAATATAAAACTGTATGAAATTATTTATTGGACTGGTGTCGCCATGAAGAAGCTTGAAAGAGTCTTGCATTTAGATATTTCACTTAGTTTAAAATTCATGTACTGTAGCTTCAAAGAAGAGCTGGA